GAAATACAGTGAATATTAGCAGACTTACATATCACTTCTCCTTACCTCCCTAAGTATCTGCTACCACATGCTGCTGGGGCTCTGTCCCTGACAGCTTCGTTCCGCTCTGGAATTCCCACTGTCTGCTCTTGCTGTGACACTCCCCGAGAGATCCCGTCACAGGGGCATAGACGCCACTTCATCAGACAGCTTCACCATACTATATAATGTACTGTACTCACTTTGAGGAACATTATGTGAATGCTGATTGGCAAAATTTGGCCCATATTCTTACTAAATGCAATTTACTTCAGAAATAGACCCACTGATTTTGCTTTCCCAGCACAGCAATTTTTCTGGTTCTCTCTTCAACACTTTCACATACTTATGCCCAGCTTAGCTGCTGATCTTCAATATTCAAGGTAATTGTCAGGTAATAAACTCTTTTAAGTTATCTAGCAACTGGGAATGAGTGTCAGCCAACCATTTTTTTTTTCCTCTGAAATACGTCATCTTTGTTACTGCACCATGTATTTACCAAAATTACTCCTGTAATCTATTAATCTTTTTAACCCTGATTTTAATTTTTCACAGAATCACAGAACGTTAGGGGTTGGAAGGGACCTCTGTGGGTCATGTAGTCCAAACCCCTGCCAAAGCAGGATCACCTACAGCAGGCTGCACAGGACCTTGTCCAGGCGGGTCTTGAATATCTCAGAGAAGGAGACTCCACAACCTCCCCGGGCAGCCTGTTATCCCCTAGTCATCTGTTTAAGCATCTGACAGAGCCAACTGAGGATTGGCATCTGAGATGACTCTGGCTCTGTCACTTTTGCTGCTGTTGTCTCAGCTTGTCTCACTATACACTTTATTGCTGCCTACTAATTTTTAAGATAGCTTTATGTTCCTTATTAACAACTTATTTCTCGAAAGATAAAAATGATGCTGTTGCAATCACAGATTCTGTAGAAACATAACATCTTGATAGAAGGGACATTTCACGGCATCAATTTGAACATTCAAAAATGAGGACAGAAGCTTGTTTCTGAGGGATTATATTTCCTTCTCAAATTCTATGTAGAAACAAGTTTCTCATCCTTTCCCCCTTGTCTATATTGTTAGGATAACACATACTTCCAACTTACAAAAATGAAACAAACCCATCAACCAGGGCACTACCATGTATTATTCCAGAGAATGATAGCGGATATCGGTCCGAGTAATTTTCTTGCTTTCAAATTTTCTTTTCGCCTCTACCAGGCAGAATAATGTAGGTCACTTTTAATGAGGAGTCCTGCGTGCAGCTTTCCCCACACGCTACACAGCAACCAGGCACTTACAGGTTCATGTTCTCCATCATCATGGTATTTTGTCATTTTTCAACAGGGTTGACTTTTGCCCACAATTCTGGGCACTTTCCTACAGTGAAGTCTCTTGGCTGCCTCATTAACTCTGCAGCAGTGTGTGCCCTTGCATTTTACCGTATCATCTCCTCCAGCATTCATTATGCTGCAGTTTAAACAGCCTCTGGCTAGAAACTTCTTAAAACAACATGGTGAAATTACTTTCTCGACAACATACAAGTCAATTATAATGTAATTACAAGATATACTAATCTATTCCCTTGTTTGGTAATGGTATCCTGGTTAAGATAATCCAGGGCATACTTGTACGGCATCTGTGAAATCCTTTGCTATAAACTATAAGCTACTATCCACAGCATCTGTTTTTCTGTGAAAGATGCAGGAATTCTAATACCTGTTCTCTTCTGGCTTTGCAAACATGTGGATCTAAAGTGGTACAAGCTGATTTGAATCTGGGGTCTCCACTTCTCAGTGCTTTACTTCCCAGGCATTTCAATGGGGTTTTTTTGTTGCTGGGGTGGGAGGATTTGGAAGAAATGTGTCACCTGGAAGACATAAGCTCTGGCCTGGCTGCCCTCCATCATACGGGACTCCTGGCCTGGCTCCCCTCCATCATAAGGGACTCCTGGTTTCCAGCACAAGCCTCTTGCATATGCCTCTGTAAGGAAAGAGTTAAGCGCCCTCGACTTCACTCCGCTCCCTACCTTTACCCCACTCCCTTTCTATTCCATTTTCCTCCTTGCTGCAATGTCCGTCTTCACCACCTCCGCCTGTACCAGCCGGGCCCTTCTGTCCTTCCCCACCACCCAGCAAACGGTGGAGGACTGGAGTCAGCCCTACTGTGCCTCGGTCCTACAGAGCCAGGCAGCTCCCCTGCCCCTCTGCCAGCCGTGCCTGCAAAAGGACTTCCCAACGTTGATGCCTTTAAACAGATGGCTCAGCAGCTCCCTTAATTCCCCCCTTCAGCCCACTCCCACACCCTCCCGCTCCCCTCCTCACCCTCCTGCACCCCGGGGGCTGGGGAACGAGGGACAGGGACCTGCCAGGATGGAGAAGCGGACAGGCTACGCCTGCTGGGAGGAGAGGATGGGGCTGAAGGACAGGGGACTGCGGAGGGTCCAGACCTTCGGGGACAGCAGCAGCCGCCTTAGGAAGCCGCTCCTGCGAGAATCACAGCCCATCGGGTTGGCGGTGCATCAGGAGGAAACGAAATACTCATCGGGCTGGCACCACACAGCCTGCCCCATGTTCTGCACGACAGCAGCGCTAACGGGCTTCAGCAGCCCTATGCTACTCTGTTGTGCCCAGAGCGATAGGCTGAGTGCTAAAAGTAAAATAAAGCTTACGCAACCGAGTAACGAACAACGTTAAAGGAAATGCCCTGTATTCTTGGTCACTTTAAAATATTTTTGTTGTTGTTATGTAATGTCAACATAAGGTAAAAAAATGTGAAAATTAATCCAACAGCTGCATACAAGTTGGATTTAAATGAGATTTCTCTGCAACCTAATGTGCATTGTACATGTTTGTCTAAAGTAAGCTGTTACAACAGCCCCTTTGCAGCCCAGACAAGGACAGAGAGAGTTGTAAGAGACGTACATCCTTCACCACTTCCTTCCTTCTAGGGCCAAGCCCCTTAATTTACTCGAGCTTCAGCTTTTTTGTCTTTAAAACAGGGATAACTTCTGCCCGCAAGGATGCTGTGATGCTAATCCATCTGGTATTTGCTAACACACGGAAGACTTTAGTAAGTGGGATGTACAGAAAGCAGGACACCACCAACTGATGCTGCCTATATTCTTCTTCACAGTCCTATCCAGTTTCATTTTTGGCTAGAAAAGTAGGTCACCACACTAAACAATAGTTCTTTGAAGAAGAAAAGCAACTTTTAACCTTATCTGGGTATAAACACCCTTCTTTTTCCAGATCAGCACTCTTAAAACAGACAGGCAGGGTAACTGGGGACTCTCCAGAGGTGAGGGTGAAGGCAGCGGCTCTTCTCGACTTGTTCCTTAATCAGTAAAGGTTCAATACAAGAGGAATAATTCATGTGGCCAGCAACTGATTCTTGCTTAGGAAGCCCCAGGGGAGAATTTTAATCATGGAAAGCTCACCTTCTTCTGGGACACGTTAAAACGGAGGGGTGGTTCCTTCTGAATGCCTTTTGGGCAGGTTACAAAGCAAAGCTCGGATGCCCATCTTGTTCTCAGCACACACTCAGCAGTTCTGGGCAGGACCTCTGGCTGTGGGCATACGCTGCCCCTGCAGCTTCCCCCCGCCACATACAGTAATTACTTTCTTTTCATTAATTGGTCTTAATGCATGCATGCACATCCACAAATCAAGTGACCCACTGCTGGGAGTACAGCAGTTTTGGCTTGGAAGTCACGCTCGCCTGGGTCTGTAAAGCCAACAGCCCACTGTCACCAAGCGCCAGCTTCGCCCGAGCAGGCGCAGGAGCACCCACGGGGCATAAGCAAAATTGGGGGGCCCAGCTTTCTCCAGCAAGTTGCAGGGGCTGTGTGTGCCTGCAGCAAACCGAGGCAGCCGGGCGGTTAGCTGGCGTTTCTGGAAATGAACACACCAGCACAAACAGCGCAATGAAGGTGATATATTAACGCTGTACCGATGTCAATGAAACATTACTATCAATTTCAACAGGCAGTATGGCTGATTTACAAGCCAATATATAACCAAATATAGCACAGGAGATGTTTGGAAAAACAAGCACGTGAAATAAGCATGACAAATAGAAAAGCTTTATTAAGGGATGATTTCTGTGCTCTCTCTCTCCCAGGGCAGTGATATTTTAGCATCCTCATCCAAACAGGAACACAGATAAACAGGCTGTAAACTTGTGTCTTTATCCTGTGGCTTGTGCTTTGACAAAAATGACCGATGATTTTTGTGCATGAGTGAAATGTTTTAACTTATACCTCTGACTGGGGTCTGCTAGGGGAAATTGGCCACCTTAAAAGTTACTCTGGGAGGGACTAAGCAGGTGGATAAACCTAGTATGTAATAAAAACACCCACCTGACAACCCGCTCAAACCAGCTGACCAGGATTCTTACGGGAAATATTTCAGCACTCTATCTGGTAATGCAAAACAAAACAAGAAAAAAACGGGGCGGTAGGGCAAGTCTTCACACCTAATTTGTCACCCGAGCTGATGAACTCCAGTGCAAAAGCTAAAGAAAATTAAGTGCTAACCTGTAAACAGTTCAACCAGGCAAAAGTGAATATGCAGTTGGCATTTACATTAAAAGCTCTAGTCTGCACGTATCTGTCTCAGCATTCCCTTTAACAAGAACATTTTTTCACCGAAAAGGCCTCAGCCTTATCTGCCTAGTACGGCTGGTGGTTTTAGATACTGTGCTACAGACTCAGTTTGGACACTTCAAGCTCTTGGCTCATTAAGATCGAGAAGTCAAACTAGTCAGAGATAAAATCAATTACGTTTGGCAAAATCACTTTTAAGGTGCCCTGTGTTTTTCCAGTTATCACTACAAGTCTCCATAAGGTATTATATTAAAAAAAGCGAGTATTTATGAACTTAAGTGCTTAATGCAGCCCATTTGCATCTATCTTCAGCCAGGGCTGACAGTCACGATCCTCTCCGCACGGTAAACACGCCGGGGTACCATCAGCCTCCTACCTTGGCTCCATCCACACTGATAATCCGATAGCTGTTTCTCGTGCTGTCATAGAAGTAGGAAACAGTTACAGCCTGCTTGCTTGCGGGAACCCAGTTCTTCTTCGTGCTGGGGTCAATTTGGAAGACATGGGCTCTGGTGGTGAAGATGGGCTGTTCTCTGGAATAGGGAGGGACAGGAGAAATGGATGCATGAGTCTGCGGAAGATGAAATGTCCCAGAAGCCCAGCCTTGACCAGGCATGTTGAAAGCACAAGACAGAGAGCGCCTGGCAATCCCCCAAGTGAAAAGGCAGAGCAGTGATGTTGCCGAGCCGTGATCCAGCCTTGGGTACCTCTCCTTGGCATCACTAAGTGACGCTCAGTGTCCTAAAGGTACGGCTGTAGCCTAGGAAGCAATTGGCTTTTATCTCCCCATGCTATACTAACTCCGTACCCACCTTTTCCTCAAAATATTTATTTCCAGGAAAGAACACTCACATGCGTTCTTTCTTTCCCCATCCACATATTTTGCCAAAAGCAAAAACAAGCCTCCCCAGCTGGACTTCCTCCTGCCGCGCATCCCTGTGAACCACCACCTCCAGGCAGGGCTCCTCTGCAGACGCACCAATGATTCCAGCGATCTACAGGCGCAGTATAATTACTGAATTATTAATCTCTATCCTTAGAATCACACTGTTCTGTGGATTTGCATGAAAATTTCATCAGATGCAAAACCAGTCAATTCTCCTAGGGAGCACAGGGGGAAAAGAAACACAATCAAAACCCTGTATTGATACATAATGCCTTTCAGATCAACTGTCAGTGGATGGTATACTGCCTTGGACACCCCGTTCCTAAACTCCAGCCGTCCTCGGATGCTTTTACTCATGAAGAAAACAGTGCGCGTGGTGGAGGGGTTTTGTTTCACCTTCAACACGTGACAATGCAAATCACATGGAAAAGCAGAGAAGATGCAGGACCAAAAGAACAGAACAAGATACACACATAGTCACCTGGGCTGAAGATCAGAATTAAGACTTACTTAAAGATCGTAAAACTAAATTCACTTCCAACTACACCTTTAATCCAAGTCTAGAAGTGAACTGCAAATCAAGGTTTACTGTGCTTTTACATATATTTCTATGCTTTTAGTTCTTAAAAGCTACAGTATATAACAGTCAATATTAAGTGTGTCACTCAATATTATTCTTACCACACACAAAATACCATGTCATGAAAAGTAACACTTGACAGAATTATGACAGGATTCAAAAACAATTGTACTACAATAGAATTACCACCCAAAAATGTTTACCACATGGAAACTGAAAAGGCTGCCAGGCTGAATTTGCACAAAGCAAATGAAAAATGAGAGGTGAAGGGCCAGAGAGATCTCTCACTCTCATATGCTATTCTTTCCTATTCATATAAATAATTCTCTTCTCTTGCTCTTGGTCCCATAGTTTTTGAACTATGTTTTTATTAAGATTTCTATAATCTTCAGCTCCTTGTATATCGACCTGTGCATTTTTAGAACAGAACAACTTCATGTACTGCACGTAGGAACTGTAGCAAACATCACAAATGATCTTGACCATGGCAATTAAATTAAAATCAAGGTGAGTAAATTTGTGAATATCAAACAGATGAAGCGATCTAAATGCAGAATTAGCTCAGGAAAGACGGAGTGAGCTTGTCAAGCCCTGCAAGGCCTCAGGAGGGAGAATATGAACAAAGGTCTTCTCCTCGCAAGACATATGCAAAGTTTCACGGTTTTCCAGGGGCTGCCATGCAGGTTTCTGGATGGACAGCTGTGCTGAACTCTGTAAAATACCTATATGAAATAAATTGAAATTACAATGGGACTGTCATGTTAAAGCTGTGCGAGCGTAGCATTTACTTCAACTCTTCCTTATCAGTAACTCACTGAACCTGACTCATTTCACATGCTAAAATTGATGTCGTCCTTAGCTGGGAGGAAGGAAGGAGTCTGTCTCCGTAACATTTTTAAAAATACTTCCATCATCCACTACACAGCATTAGCAGCGTAGCCCATGAAGGTGATGGGGTTTGTTTGCAATAGGGAATGCAGGGGAGGGAAGTTTCCCCCAAGCTACTTATTTTTTTACTCTAAAAATATGTACTTTCTCTGAGTGAAGAATAATTTTGAATTTATTTCACCTTTTACTTAGCTCTGTATTTTTAGTGGATTCTACTAATAATTGCTTTTGCTAATGGTAGTATGACCTATATATCGCAGTCTAAACTTGCAGAAGTTTCAGACTTTTCCTTCACACAAACCCATTCCACAAACAACTTCCACTCTGTTAAGTCATCTTAACAACACCAGAGCACACTGTTAAAATTATGCCTGGCCTCTCTGCAGCAGCAGCAGCAAGCACAGAAAGTACATCTGGAGACAACAAAAGTAGAACAAGGGGAAAAACTCTCTCCATTTTTTCAGGAGTCTTGTAGCATCTACTCTTGTCAACACGCATCCAAGTGGATAAATTAATGGACAATGAAGCTCAGGGCTTGAGATGGCCATCTATCCGTTCGCATGGGACTTTTATTAAAAAGTAAAGGCAAAACCTGACTATGTTTCTAATCCCTAAAAGGGAAAGCGGCATGTAAATGTAAACATTTTAACTCAAGGTAAGTGAGCTGTTGACCTTCCACGGAGTCTCAAATTCGGAAGGGCCAGCTGGTTGCTCTCCATATATGCCTCCGACCTTTCTGCCGTAGGTGGCTCTACAGGGCAGCAAAGCCCCAGGACTGATTTTCTGACATCCTGGAGCAGACAAAGCGCCCCCAGGACCCAGCCTCCTGGGAGGATTTCCCAGTGCTGGATGGTAATAATTAAGAAGAGAAGATTTGTTTCTGCAGCCGTGCCTGCCCCGCTGCACTCCCTGCAGCCGAACCCACCGGCAGCTCTGTGCTCGGCTGGTACGCCCATAGCAAATTCCAGTGGTGCAGCTTTTAACATGGGGGAGAAATACCCTCCTTCCTTGCATCCCACCCTCCTTTGACCACTGAAGCACACACAGGCAACTATAAAATTATGGCACTCAATTTTCAAATGAAACACTGAATTAGACACTTTTCAAATGCTTACCATGGCCTTACAGAGCTCCAAACTGAGAAGGATTGTTCTACATTACTAACTTGCAACTTTTGACATTCAAGAAAGCACTTTACCGGCAGAGGAACAACTTCATTTTCCAGGGTTTCTTTCATTTTGTCAGAGATTTATCAAGCTTTATACTTAAAACAGCAGCAATGTTGACTTGAAATTCCCGCAGCACATCCTGCTGTGTCGTTCGAGCCCCTCTAAGCTGGTCGTTACGCGAGACTGCCAGTATGCCCGGGGAGGGCACACTGCAGACTCGTAAATCAGAAGACAAAGAGAATTTATGAATGTTTAAAACCTCATGAATTTTAACCAAAGTTGTTAATGATTGATTAAATACTCTTAAAAAAAAATCTGTTTAAAAATCAATTTGACAGTAACATCCACTGTTTCGAGTAAAGCCGCTTGAAAAGTAGCAAATGGAGGCCTAAATTATAGCTAACAGTTCTTTGTTTAATAATGCAGATTAAGACAGAAAATGCACTTTGATAAGCTTTTTTTATTATCAAATACAGCAAGTATGTTTTATAAATATGATTGCAATTTTGAAGTCATGGTTTTATGCAATTTAGTTGACCTCTGATTTCTGTCCTTGTGTCGTATGAGGCAAATCACAGAATCCCAGAATTTTCAGGGTTGGAAGGGCCCTCTGTGGGTCATCTAGCCCAACCCCCCTGCCGAAGCAGGGTCACCTACAGCAGGCTGCACAGGACCGCGTCCAGGCGGGGTCTGCGTATCTCCAGACAAGGAGACCACACAGTCCCTCTGCGCAGCCTCTTCCAATCTCAAATGAAAAACACTCATTCTCCATTAATGTAGAAATATATCATAAACCTTTTCTGAAGAATTTAAAAAGCACAAACCAAGACTCTGGGGCTAATTGACCGCATCCACAGCTGTGTGAGACACAGTATCACTTTCCAGGTAACATACAGCCGTGCCAAATTTTACAAGTGTGTGACTAGCTGCAGGCTGTGTGTTTTATACTACTCTTCCTAATCAATGGGAATGAGCTCTCACTTAAGAAAAGTTCAAACTATTTAATTCAAAATTCCTTGTTTACGACTTGAATCATGAGCACAACCCGTGATTCGGATCACTTCAGCTGTGATGACTCTGCCAACCGGCAGCCAGCACCATCAGGGCTGTGGGAGACTGGTGGCTGATGAAGCCCCAGCCAGGCATCCCCTGTCCCCAGCTGCCAGCCAGGCGCGGGGCCACCAGCAGCCGGCTCCAGCTCCGAACAAGGCACTGATGATGTGAACACTTCGCATTGGAGCAATCTTTTTTTGGTAATAAACACAACACAGTGAGCTGTGGGGGTGCCTGTGGGATCAGCATCCGAAGTGTCCAGTGCACATCGAGTGGACATGCTGAGTGACCAGTAAATACAACAAAGCAGCTCCTTTACTTCTTGTAGCATGTGGAACACCAAACATATCTGTGACAGGAGCTCTGGTACTCCACCAGACGCAAAGCCACTATTTGCACATTTTGCTAAAATTCAGATCACAGAAAATTCTCCATGAAGAGGATTCCTAGTTTACAGGACACAATTACTTGTGCTCTCCCCACACTAATATTAGGAAGCTTTGCCTTAACTGCCTAATTTACCAATTGGAATAAACATATTTTTTAAAAGAACACACCCTCATTTAGCTGCCATTTGGTGGAGGATGCACATGCCTGCAGACAGTGCATCAGCATAGAGCTTTTGGAACGTGGTGCTTCCTGCTACAGGCCAGCATCATGCACACGCCGAGGTTTATACTACCTGACAGCGCCAGCAGATCTGCAGTGATCTGCTGTAACAAGTATTAGATAATAAGGATCTTTCAAGAAAGAAGAGGAGTAAGAAAAAAAATCACTGGTCATAACACAAGAAAACTCATTTGCTAAACGCAACATGATAAACTTGGCCTCAACAGTTATTTGGATTGAGCATTGCTTCTACTGCTTGACAGTGCAACAAAAAGAACTAACCCTTTATGTATATCTTCACATATAAAGTAGTCTGGAGTGCCATTTGTATTTATTTACGGTAATTCAGAAATAAGCACCGTTGCTAAAAAGAGGAGTGCTGTCCCCACACCTCTGTCACCCGACAGCCGCCCTCACCTCCCATGCGAACGCGGGACGGTCCAGCTCCCAAAGCCACCGAGCATCACCTGGGCCTCTGACACAGCTCCAAAGGCCCGGCGCACCTTACTGAGGCAAAAACGTGCCTTCGGTCCCAGAGAAAACTGAATTAATACATCCTGCCCCCTGAAAGCAGCAAGCTCTCCAGTCACTTCCCCGTGACCCAGAAGTGACCGGATGCCCCTCTCCAGCTGGCAGCAGTGCCAGCATGGGGGGGTCCCCACACCCTGGGGTGTGCAGCTGCCCTGCCAGGCTGCTGCTGCCTTGCCTTTCTAGATTTTATTGTTGCATGGTGGCCCCTGAGTTCATCAAAGGAGATTTTTCTCCTGTTTGAAACACCTCGGTGAAAGCCCAGGCAAGTAATGATGCCTA